CGTTGTTTCTCCCTGGCTGCCATGAGAATTTTATCTTTGTCATTGATTTTTGATAATTTTAATACAATGTGTCTTGGGGAAGTCCTTTTCGTGTTGAGATAATTGGATGTTCTTTTGACTTCTTGATTTCCAAACTATAGCTCATTTTTTTTATACTTGGAAATTCTCATCCACTATTTGTCTGAAAATGCTTTCTACTCCCTGCTCCTTTTCCTTGCCTTCAGTTATGCCTATTATTCTTAAGTTTCCTCTCCTGATGATATCAGCTAGTTCTTATATTTCTTTTTCATTTTTTTTCATTCTTTGGTTTTTCTCTTCTTCCTTCTGATTTATTTCTAGATTTCTGTCTTATATATCATTGATCCTTTCCTTCATTTGGTCGACTCTATTTCCCAAACTTGCTATTTCATTTTTCAACTCTTGCAGCATGTCTTTTATCGCCAGTTCTATTTGGTTCTTTTCGAGGGTTTCAATCTCCTTGCTCTGCTCATCTGTTTCTGTAATTTCTGAAATTGTTGATATTACTCTTTTGGAATTTCACTGAGTTTTTTCATAAGTACCATCCTGAATTCTCTGTTATTTAAGTCATATATTTTTATGTCTGTAACCTCATTTTCTGGAGATTTTTCTCTTTCTTTCTGAGATGCCTTGTTGCCTTGGTTGTTCATGGTGTTTAATGGACTATTTCTCCACCTTGGCATTAATGGAATGTATTTTGCTGTATTTCCAGAAAGAAGCTTTACTATATAAGGGTCTCTCTAGCCTGTTGCAAAGAATGCTTTTTTCTTTTGGTTTCTAGTAGGTGGAGTCTAATCCTCTTGGATTTCTGCTTTACGTAAAGCGTTAATAATGCCTTTTTTCCCTTACAGATGTTTAATCATGCTTGCTACCCTCAGTCTCAGACCTTGTCAGTGTTAGTGACAGTTTCTGTAGCATTTGCTCAGGTTCCCCTGAGGCTTTGTGGTATTCACTCTTGGAGTGTATGGGGATGGGGCCGTCTGGGTTACAGGACAGGGGATGTGACTCAGCCTTGGTTTTGCAACCGTTGCTAGTAAAAATCAACTGTTGTTACTCTGCCGTCCCCGCTTCTCTGCTTTCTGCCCTGATGCCTGGCCGCTCCTGCTGGCCACGTGGAGCTCACAGCTCTTCCAGGCAGGAGTATTCGGGGAACTCGCCGTGCCTTCTCCCCTTCTCTCTCTTCCTACAGAGAGCTCCTGCTGAGAGTGGTAGCTTCTTTTATTTGTCCTGATCTACCACCCGACACCTTGAGTTCTGACCTATGGTAGCTCTTATACGCAGATCCCATGCTCAGATATGCTGATATGCAGTTTGGTTGTTTGTTGTTGAGTTTTAGATGTTCAGTTTATTGTTGTTTCAAGGGGAAAGATCTGGAGATGTCTCTTAGTCTGCCATGTTTCTGACATCACTACCATATTAATTTTAGAAAGATGTTAAAAACTAAGGGAATTGGATACTCTATTTTTCACCTATTTTTTCTATAAAGCTGAAACTGTTAAAAGTAAAGTCTATCTTTTTTTTTTAATTATTGGATTCAGAAAACATTGATGGTTGTCAGTTGCGGGGGTTGGGAGATGGATGATATGAGTGAATGGGGTCAAAAGGTAAAAAAAAGAGAAATAAAGAAAAAATGATGGAAAAATAAGTGTTTTTTTTTTTAAAGATTAGTGAAATTAACAAACATCTAGCAAGACTGGAAAAGAAAAAAAGAGAAGACACAAATTACTAATATCAGGAATGAACCAGGGATATCATTATAGACTTTATAGATATGAAAAAGATAATTAGAGAATACTTCAAACAATTCTACATGCACACATTTGACAATTTAGATAAAATGGATCAATTTCTCAAAAAGTACACACTACCACAACTCATCTAATATGAAATAGTTACTTGAATTTACCATTAAAAGTCTCTCTCTAAAAAAGAAATCTAAAACATTCAAAACCTACAGCTAACATCATACTTAATGGTGTTATAACATAATATAACACCGTTAATATAATGCTTTTATTCTAAGATCAGGAACAGAACAAGATGGGCACTCTGACTACCTTTATTTAATACAGTACTAGAAGTTCTAGCTAGCACAGCAATGCGAGGAAAGGAAATAAAAGATACACATGATTGGCTGTGCAGAAAATCTTAAGAAATTTACAAAAACACTCCTACAACTAATAAGTAAATTCAACAAAATATCTAGATATAAGTTGAACATACAAAAATCAATTGTATGCTATATAGTACAAATGAACACATTGAAACTGAAATTAAAGATATGCTATCTGCAATCATTCAAAAAACCAAATACTGAAGTATGTATCTTAACAATACATGTACAGAACTTGTATACTGAAAATGACAAAATACTGACGAAAGATATCACAGAAGTTCTAAGTAATGGAAAGATATTCTGTGTTCACGGACTGGAAGACTCAACATAGCAAAAATGAAAATCTCCCTCCAAATTGATACACAGGTTTAATACAATTTCTATAAAAGTCCCAGCAAGATTTATTTTTGTTGTTGGTGTAGACAAACTAATTCTAAAATTCATATGGAAGTGAAATAGCTAAAAAAGCTAAAACAATTCTGGGGAAAAAGCAATAAAGTGAAAGAAATCCATCCAACCCAATTTCGAGGCTTATTATATAGCTATAGTAATTAAGACTGTGTGGTATTGACAGAGAGATAGACATATAGATCAGTGAAACAGTATAGGGAACCCAGAAATAACCTGCACAAATATAGCCAGCTTAATTGATTTTTGACAAAGGTGCAAAAGCAAGTCAATGAAAGAAATATTTTTTAAAGAAATAATGCTAGAACAATTAGATATCTATAGGAAAACATAAATGAATCTTGACCTAAATCTCACATCTTATACAAAAAAAAAAAAAAGAACTCAAAATGTATCATAGATTTAAATTTAAAAAAAATAAGACTATAAAACTTTAAGGAGATAACATAGGGGAAAATCTTTGGGACCTAAGGCTTGATGAAGAATTCTTAGAAATGGCACTAAAAACACAGTCCATAAAAGAAACAAGCAATAACTTGGTCTTCATCAAAAATAATTTTGTGTGTCTGTGCTGCAAAAAAAACCAAACAAACAAATAAACAAAAAAGAAACAAGAAAATGAAAATGCAAGCTACAGACTGAGAAGAAAATGTTTGCAACTACATATTTGACAAATAACTCATACCTAGAATATATAAAGAACTCTTTAAACTTGACATTTAAAAAACAATGCAAGTAGAAAATAGGCAAAGGACATGAAGAAACATTTTACTAAAGAGGATATACGGATGGTAAATAAGCACATTAAAAATTTTTCATCACTAGCTATTGGGGAAATCAAATTAAAAACTCGATGCTCTATCATTACATGCCTCAATGAGAACAGTTAAAATTTAAAAAACAATACTGACAATACCAAATGCTGGCAAGAATGCCAAGGATCCAGATCTCTCATACATTCCTGTAGGAAGGTAAAATTGTAAGTCTTCTGGAAACAATTTAGTAGGTTCTTATAAAGCTGACATGTAATTTGCCATATGACTCAGCAATTGCACTCTTGGGCATTTATCCTATATAAATGAAAACATATTCGCACAACATCCTGTATATGACTGTTCATAGAAGCTTTATATGTAATAGACAAAAATTGGAAACAATCCAAGTGTCTTTCAACAAGTGAATGGTTAGACAAACATTACAAACAAAATGGGAAAAAGTGGTATATAAGTATGAAATACTGCCTGGCAAAAAAAAAAAAAAAAGAACTATTGATACATGCAACTTAAATACATCTCCAGGAAATTATACTGAGTGAAAAAAAGTCAGTTTCAAAAAGTCACACATTATATGGCTCTATTTATATAACATCGAAATTACACAGTTTTAGAGATGGAAAACAGATTAGTGGTTGTCAGGTGTTAGGAATGGTGGGAAGCAGGGGAAGAAGAATGTTATGATAAAGGAACATGGAAGTGTATACACATACAATATTCAGTTTGTTTTTATTATGCTATAATTATGTAAAATGTAAATTGGAGGAAACTGATTGAAGGAGACCTATTTTTGCAAATTCCTGTGATTTAAACTTATTTTAACATAAAAAATTAAAAATTTATTCTAAATACAATAAAATGAAATTTTAGAATACTTGAAATACTCAGATAACCATTATGGAGCCAAAAAAGTTACTAGAAAGAACATTTTCACCTAGAAAGAGCAAGATTAGAAATAAAATATGAATTATAATTATAACTGTACACCCTTTAGGAAAAGAACCAATTCGTGTTCCTTTTAAAAGATTTGATGAATATTTTCTCCATAAAACAAATAAACAAAAACAAAAAAAGTTTTCTATAATGAACTTCATGTTGTTTGAAAGTCTGAATATTTAGACAAATATCATCTTTCCGCTAATAAGATATGTAAAAATGAAGACATTTTTATTTTAGCGTATTGAATAATAATAAAATTTCATTATCTTAGGTACCTATTTATTATTTTAAATTATATTTTATAGAACATCCATTATTTTAATGTCCAGAATTGCTAAGTTTTCTATGTTTACAAATTTCCTCTTGTATTTCTCTTACAAAGACTTGGATTGGGAATCGAAGAAGGAAATATCGTTTAATGGGGATTGAAGTTCCACCTCCAAGAGGAGGCCCTGCTGATTTTTCTGAGCAGCCAGAGTCTGGTTCTTTGTCTGCGCTCACACCAGGAGAGGGAGCTGGTCCTGAAGTAGGAGAGGATAATGACAGGAATGATGAAGTATCCATCTGTTTGTCTGAAGGAAGCTCTCAAGGTATTTTATATGTTGAACCTCCTAATAATAGCTTTTGTAAATTTGATGCATTTTGCTTGCTTTTCAGCTTACTGGACTTCAATTCTAAAGTCTTCAAAACATTTGGTTAAACATTTTTAAAGAAATATACTTATTTTTTATTCTATTTTTCAGTAACAAATATATTTAAAGTATATAGCATGATGCTTTGATTTACATATACATAATAAAATAATTACTACAGTCAAGCTAATTAGCATAGCCTCTCCTCACATAGTTACCGTTTTTCTGTGTGGTGAGAACACTTGAAATCTGTTCTTCCAGCAAATTTCGAGGATACAATATAGTGTTGTTAACTATAATTATCATGCTGTACATCAAATCTCTACACTTATTTATCCTATGTAATTGTAACTTTGCACCCTTTGACAAATTTCTCCCTATTTTCCCCCTCCTCAACCTGGTAACTGCTATTATAGTCTCTGCTTCTATGTATTTGACTTTTTAAAATTCCACATATAGGTGAGATCATGTAGTACTTTTCTTTCTGATTCTGGCTTATTTCAATTAGCATAATATCCTCCAGCTTCATTTGTGTTGTCACAAATGGCAGGATCTCCTTTTCCAATTTTCGTATATGTGCTGCCGAAGTGAGCACAGGATCTCCTTTCAAAGGCTCAATAGTATTTCATAATTGTTTTGTTTTATTGGAATTCTAGTCAATTTAGGTTAGAGCATTATAAATGCATTGTAATGAAAGGTAGTATGGTATAATATGACGAACACCAGGATAGTAGTCAAACGACCTGTGTGCAAGTCCTAGATTTTCCACTAACTGATGACATGACTTCAGGCAAAGTCATTAGACTTTAGTTTCTTCAACTGCAAAATAAAGGAATTAGGCTGGATCATCTCTATAATACTTCTCAGCGTTTCCCTAAATGAAAATTCAAATAATAACATGCAATTATACCACTTATCCATAATAAGTATTTTTCATTTTACTTCCAGCATAAAAACAGTTCTTTTCTGTGACCTTTTTTTTAATGAACACATATTGAGATTTAATTTATATATCAGGAACCCATCCATTGTAAATGTAGAATCCAATGATTTTTTAATAAATTTTATAGAGTTTTGCAACCATAACCATCGCTAAAATCCAATTCTAGAATATTTTCTTTACTTCAAATAATTTTCTTTAGTTCATTTACAGTCAATCCCCACTCCCACCTCCAAATCCTGATAACCACCCATCCAATTTCTGACTATATAAATTTGTGATTGCCGGGAATTTCATGTAAATGGAATCACACAATATTTTGTCTTTTGTATCTGTGATAGAGAGAATCTTGCACTGATCTATTTTTATTTTATTAATTAGGACATTAACATTACATTTCTAGTTTATTTTTTGCCTTTTGTTTTTGTTTTTTTGAAATGTTTTATTAAAATATAGCTAACATACAATATTGTATTAGTTTCAGGTTTATAACACAGTTATTCAACATTTATATACCTAAAGAAGTGATCACCATGATATGTCCAGCAACCATCTGACACCGTACAATGCTACAATATTATTGACTATATTCCCTATGACTTTTTTGTCTTATACGTAGAAATTTGAACCTCTTATACTTCTTCACTTCTCCCCTTTTTTAAATTTTTTAATTACAGTTGACATTAAATATTATATTAGTTTTAGATGTACAGCATAGTGGTTAGACATTTATATAATGTACGAAGTGATTCCCCTGACTATTCTAGTACCCACCTGGCACCATATACAGTTATTACCATATTATTGACTATATTCCCTATGCTTTACATTCCCTTGACTATTTTGTAACAACCAATTTGTACTTCTTAATCCCTTCACTTTTTTCATCCTGCCCCCAGCTCCCTAACCATCTCACAACCATCAGGTTGTTCCCTCCATCTATGAGTCTATTTCTGTTTTGTTTGTTGTTTATTTTGTTCTTTAAATTCTACATATAAGTGAGATCATATTGTATTTATCTTTCTCTGTGTGACTTATGCACTTAGCATAATACCTTCCAGGTCCATCCATGTTGTCACAAATGGTAAGGTTTCATTCTTTTTTATGGTCAAGTAATATTCCATTGTATATATCTACAACTACTCCCTTATCCATTCATCTATTGATGGATACTTGGATTGCTTTCATATCTTGGCTGCTGTAAATAACGCTGGAGTGAACATAGGAATGCATATATCTTTTCAAATTAGTGTTTTGGATTTCTTCAGATAAATACCTGAAGTGGAATCACTGGTCATATGGTAGTTTCAATTTTCTGAGGAACCTCCATAATGTTTTCCATAGTGGCTGTACCAATTTACCATCCCATCAATAGTACATACACAAGGATTCCCTTTTCTCCACATCCTTGCCCACACTTGTTTTTCGATTTATGTTGATAGCCATTCTGAGAGGTATGAGATGATATCTCATTGTGGTTTTAATTTCTCTGATGAGGTATGAGATAATATCTCATTGTGGTTTTAATTTGCATTTCTCTGATGATTAATGATGTTGAGCATCCTTTCATATGTATGTTCTCTTTGGAGAAATGTCTGTTTAGGTCCTCTGCTCACTTTTAATTGGATTGTTAGGTTTCTTTTGGTATTAAGTTGCATGAGTTCTTTATATATTTTAGATATTAACCCCTTATCAGATATATTATTGGTGAATATTTTCTCTCATTCAGTAGGTTGTCTGTTTTGTGGTAGGTTTCCTTGCCTGTGCAAAAACCATTTAGTTTGATGTAGTCCTATTTGTTTTTTTTTTCCTTGCCTGAGGCAACATATCAGGAAAAATATTACTAAGAGCAATGTCAGAGGGTTTACTGCCTATGCTTTCTTCTAGGAGATTTATGGTTTCAGATCTTACATTTAAGGCTTTGATCCATTTGAATTTTTTTTGTATATGGTGTAAGAAGGTAGTGTAGTTTTATTTCTTTGTATCTGTCCAGTTTTCCCAAAACCATTTATTAAATAGACTGTAAAGACTTCATTGTATATTCTTTCCACCGTTGTCACAGATTAATTGACTATATAGGCATGGATTTATTTCAAGGCTTTCTATTCTGTTTCATTGATCTATGTGTCTGATTTTATGACAGTATCATGCTGTTTTGATTACTATAGCCTTGTATTATAGTTTGATATCAGGTAGTGTGATACCTGCAACTTTGTTCTTCTTTCTTAATATTGCTGTGGCTATTTGAGATCTTTTGTGGTTCCATATAAATTGTAGGATTATTTTTCAAGTTCTGTAAAAAATGCCATTGATATTTTGATAGGGATTGCATCAAATCTATAGATAGCTTTAGGTAGTATGCACATTTTAATTATATTAATTCTTCCTAGCCATTAGCATGGTATATGCTTCCATTTATTTGTATCTTCTTCAATTATTTTCAGTGTCATAATCTTCCAAGTACAAGTCTTTTACCTCTTTGGTTAAATTTATTCCTAGACATTTTTTGATGCAATTGTAAATGGGATTGTTTTCTTAATTTCTCTTTCTGATAATTCATTATTGCTGTATAGAAATGCAACTGATTTCTGAATATTAATTTTATATCCTGCTAATTTACTGAATTCATTTATCTGTTATAACAGGTTTTGGGTGGAATCTTTAGGGTTCTCTATGTATAGTGTTGTGTCATCTACAAATAATTATAGGTTTACTTCTCTTTTTTTCCAATTCGAATGCCTTTTATTTCTCTTTCTTGTCTGATTGCTGTAGCTAAGACTTCCAATACTATATTGAATAGAAGTAGTGAAAGTGGACATATTTTTCTTGTTCCTGATAATTAGAAAAACATTTTTAGCCTTTCCACATTGAGTTTAATGTTAGCTTTTGGTTTGTCATATATGGCCTTTATCATGTTGAGGTATGTTCCCTCAATTCCCACTTTGCTAAGAGTTTTTATCTTAAATGGATGCTGGATTTTGTCAAACACTTTTCTGCATCTATTAATATAATCATATAATTTTTATCTTTCAATTTGTTAATGTGGTATATGACAATAATTGATATACAGATAAACCAACCTTGCATCCAAAGAATAAATCCAACTTGATCATAGTGTATGATATTTTAAACATTTTGCTGATTTCAGTTGTTAATATTTTGTTCAGGATTGTTTTCCAGCTTTATTAAAATATAATAGACAATGAGTTGCTTGTATTTGCATTGTACAATTCAATAAGTTTTTTCAACTATAATTGGCATACAATAATATATTAGTTTCAGTTGTACAGCATAGTGATTAGAGATCTATATCTCACAAAGTGATCCCCCACTAAATCTAGTAACCCTCTTCCTCACTACGTATTTATTACATTATTAACTATTTTCCTTATGCTACATTTTATATCTCCATGACTATTTTGTAACTATCTATTTGTACTTCTTAATCCTTTGCCCTTTTACACCTTCCTTCCAACCTCCTTTCAATTTCTCTGTATGTGAGTTTGTTTCTGTTTTTGTTTTGTTTGTTTTGTTCTTTAGATTCCATATGTATGTGGAATCATGTGATATTTGTCTTTCTCCATCTGACTAACTTCTTTCAGCGCAATACCTTCTAAGTCTATCAAGGCGATATTCTTTTCCATCCCCTTCCTTTTAGTGTGTACGTGTCTTCTAATCTGAAGTGAGTCTCTTATAGGTAACCTATGTAAGGGTCTTATTTTCTTATCCATTCAGCCACCCTGTCTTTCGCTTGGAACACTTAATTCTTTTCCATTTAAGGTACTCATTGATAGGAATGTAGTTATTACCATTCTGCATTCATGTTTTTGATACATGTGTTTTCCTTCTTAAAGAAGTCCCTCCAACATTTCCTGTAATACTGGCTTGGTGTTGGTAAATTCTTTTTGCTTATTTTTGTCTGGGAAGCTCTTTATCTGTGCTTCAACTCTAAATGATAGCTTGCTGGATAAAGTATTCTTGGTTGTAGATCCTGGGTTTTCATCACTTTGAATATTTT